AAAATTGAGATTGGGAATTAGGTTTACCCATATTTGATACGACGATTGTAAATTTTTTTTTGAAAAAGTTGGATTCCCCAATTCATGTTTATGAAAAAAAATTCTATTTTAAAATACCATCAAATGTGTGGTATTTTGAAAATATCATGTATTGAGAATATTTGATAATATTTTTAGAACATAATTAATCTCAATCTACATCTCTAACAATATTTTACAATTAACTAAACATAACATCAAAAAATTAACCCCATATTCTCATAAATGTTGACCTATCAAATAACTTTTTGGTATAGTCCCAGAAAATTCACTTTTTTACTATATCTCTGTGAATTGTAATTTTCGAATAATTTTTTTTTTCTCTTTTACTAAACACCCCTTAAAAGAAAATACATGTCGCACGAGTTCGAAGGACCTATATTTGAACAATACTTCTAAGACTATATTTTCCTCTGTTTAATGTTCTTCTCTGATTATATATCTCAACATCTCTGCCAACAAGTACTTTAGCGACATTGGCCTCAACCTCTCCCCAGCATGCATGCAGCTTGTGTATAGCTAAACGTTTTGAGCAGCTAGTTCTTCGGTTTTGTTCCATTACTTCCTTCCAATGCCTAAGAAATTTTCATATAATAATTCAACATAAAGATCAATATATGTATAATAGATAAAACACCACATATCAATTTTTATTCTGAGAGAAATTTGTATACATGGTTGAGCCATCTTATACCTATTCCAAAATGGCAGCCCTTTTGCGATGGGAGCATGATGGCTCATGGAACTTAATCCCAATATAAATAAGCGAGAGAGGAGACCTAGCCAAATACCCTAAAAGAGTTTTTGTTCACTGGGTTCATCAATCACGGAAAACCAGGGTCACACTAGAGCCTACACTGCTGCCCAACTAGGCCCAATACCAACAGATGCCAAAAGCCCACAACTCAACATGATCACAACGGACTTATCAAAATAATACAATTGGAATATTCATTAACCTGATTAATTTTAAAATAGAAAACTAATTAATTAATATTGCTCACATAAAGAAAAATTTCTAACATTCTCCCACTTCGGCTATATTAATTAATTTAATATTATTTTGAAAATCATTTCATTTTGAAAATGACTCTATCGAGTTAATAACTAAAAAATCATTTTACGTGGCCATGATTTTGAAAAACAATATTCCAATTCCAATACCAGCATTTCATCACAATTCAATCCAACATAACCCCATCATAGGAACATGACGATCAATATACCGAAAATATCATAGCATATGACCATCCATACTCACACACAATAAGTATTACATATTCATGACTCAAGGCGTAGTAAGAATTAGTGCAATAATGTGATCAACAATGTAACACACTAATTCTTATCAGTCCTCAATGTAATTTCTCAACAACATGAAATCACATTACTGCAATTTCTAAACAATATGAAATTACCTTTTTCAATTCAATTTCTTTACAACATGAAATTGAATTAACGCAATTTCCAAATGACATGAAATTGCTTAGTTTAAATAAACCAACATGCCACAATACAACATGAGAGCTCAAAATTTGTGACATCCAATCATCTTTAAGCTCACAAAATGCTTAAAGATACTATTTATACATATATTTATTAGTCGACGGGAGAAATAACAATAATGATGATCATCAATTATTAAAATTCAAACAAAAGTCACAAAAATATCATCAGTTTGCTTGACCAACAAATCAAACTGAATATAACTCTCACTTAGGGCGGGCAAAATGGGTCAACACGCCCCGACCTGCCATTAACCCACTTAAAACGGGGCAGGGCAGGTTGACCCATATTTCAAAAGTGGGCTGAGCAGACCAACCTGCCCCGTTTTATGGTGGGTTGGCGGGTTGGCCCGCCTAAATTTAAAATAAAAAATAAAATGCAATGCTAAAGAATCAAATAAAATGCAAATCAAGGCATAGTTTTGATATCTATACATGACGAGTAACAAAAGGCTGTAATATTAATATTGAAGTGGTTTAAACCAAAAAATATATCTAGTCTAAATTAAATGTTAACATAACAAATAGACGGATCTTTTTACTTCACAGTTTAACATATTGTTAATTGATTAACAGTTTGAATTTGCAATCATGTAACACTCCGTATATATCCGGTAATGTTATCATAATATCGTATTAAGCTGCGCTTAATTAAAAATGCGAAATTACTTTTTCTTTTCAATTATGATGTCATTAACATTACCAACTTGCTTAATAATCAATTAATAAAACATCGCATGTATGTAATTACAATAAAACAGCTAACTGAAATACCTCATAACATAGATAATATAAGTGTGGCTCTAGTCACGGAACTACAACAATGTAGACCGGACCATCTAACAGTTTATACAACTCCAATCTAAAAGTACTAACAGAAAGTGTCATGGATAATCCCCATGCTCACTCAAATAAGGCAACATGCCCAACATCAGTCTCAACAACAACATATCATAAATAGCGGAAAACATAAACAGCATCCAAATCCAGTCATGCTAACATAAAGCAGTAAAACATAATCAGCTAAGCTCCGACCTCCTGCCGCCTGAGGCATCAGTACTCATACTACCTGATCCTGAAATAAGCATTCCCCAAACGTGGAGTAAGATCTCTAATCTAGAAATCTCAGTAAGTCAGTGAGTCCTCAAGGATCTTCCACCCCAAGCTCACTTACATGTGCAATATAAGTTCAAAAGCAGTTTATCATTTATCTTTTCTAAAACAATGCAATGCAGCAGATAATCATGCCATGTGTGTCAATTCTAATCTACTGGCCAGAGACAGTGCATGTATACGTCTATCACCTACACACCGTGCAAGTACCACTTGCATTCACCCCGGTACACCGTCTTGTATGGCGCTACATACTCGCTTCCCATCAAGATGAAACAACACATGCATATTAAAAGCCATTACATGTAAAGTTCAATCAACATATCAAATATCCAAAAGCATGTACACAGCATGCATAAACCATACCCCCATTGGACATGGTGGAACCACAACATGGCTAAACCGAGGACACGAAAGCTTACCTCTAAGCTAGCTATCCAATGCCACAAGCTCAAAGTCCAATCACAACAGATCACAATCTGATATGGACCAAATATAAATCAATAACATGTACCACATGCATACAAATTAAAGACAACGCCTTTTCATTACGCTTTATGTCTTAAGGCTTCTCACCAAGCCATAAGCCCTTAATCACTTGATTCTGACTTAGTTTAATTAAAACAGAAGTTCAACTTCATCAATCTAGGGTCCACAAACCCCCAATAGCCTACTGTCCTCACAGCACAACTATTGTTCTTCAAAATCCCAAAATATCCGGATATTCCTCGGGACCATATCCGGATATTCAATATCCGGATATCTCACTGTGCATATCCGGATATCCAATATCCGGATATCCAGAATCCCATATCCGGATATCAAATATCCGGATATCCAAAACTCAATATCCGGATATTCATCGGGCATATATCTGGATATTTCACGACAGAATGCAGTTATGCATTTTCGTGAAGATATCCATCCAAGGTTGGGTTTTTACCAATTTTAAACACCTAAACATACATTTCTAGGTGTGTTTGACATTATCCAACGTTAAGTTATCATCTTTTAACCTTTACATGCATCAAGGTTCCATTTTTAAGCTTAAAGACTCAAGCTCAAAGGTGATGAAGCTTACCAAACCTCAAACTCAGAAAAGGGTGCTCTTGGAGCTCACACAACAGCTCCAAGGTTTTGTCTCTCACAGAACACGAAAATACACACCAAGGAGGGTCTTTTCTTCTCAAAGGTTGCTCCTTGGAGCTCCAACAACTCAAGGAAGAAGCTCACACACTCCCATAAGGCAGTCCAGACTCCAAACAGCCTCCACACAGCCACCACACTCAGGAAAAGAGCTCCTTTCACACTCACAATGATCTCTCCCACTCACCCAAGGTACAAAGTGAAGAGAAAAGGAGGAAGAGAGGTCACAAAGCTCACAAAATGGTGGTGAAGCAATGTAACAGTGGAACCAACAGCTGACCAGCCCCTCACCCACGTAGAGAAACTGTTTTCTAGGGTTTTGTGCCCTTAATAAGGGTATATATAGCCCACTTAAAGATTAACACACAGTATTAACTTTAATTGCTATGCTTAGTATTTTAATGCCAAACTTTGGATTGTGAAACTACATAATTTTCTAAGATTTATCATATTTTTCTTATAATTTTCTGAGCACCTTTTCAGTACGCGCTTTTCCAAGCCAGTACCGGTTTCTAGCACCAGTTCTCATTATCTGGACTTGAAACTCATTTTACAAGTCCTACATATTATTCTAGTAATTAACATGCACTTACTTTAATTTTCCGGGATACTTTTTCGGTACTCATTTATCCCGACTAGCAGAACCAGTATCTGCACTTTTCTTCCGAAAAGCGACTTTCAGCAATATTACCCACTTACTATAATTATTAAAGCCTCATAATAATTATTAGGGTCAATTATGGAATCATTTCCTATTTTCTCATAATTTATTAATTAAATTCCTTAATTAACGGTGCGGGTTCTTACAGAATCTATATCAATCTCATCGATTTGCCATGCAAGAACCATGAAACTCATTCGTGTACGAAATACACACATACTTGATATAGCAAAGAGAACAAAATCAAAGTTTGGAGACCAAAAATAAAAGTATAATTTCTTCATTACTTTTCCCTAGTTTAGAAATATCCACAAATTCCATGCCTCAAAAAAGTTGAAATCACAAGGCAATCAGTGGGGTCATCCACACCACATCATTTCTTACAAAAAGCCTTATGAATAACATTATGCATTGCCCTTGCAAACAAACACCTGCATGCTTTTTAACATGAACCAAAATATAACTATGAACTACTAGAAATTAGACTGACTACTGCAGCATAAATGAACAATGAAGATCATCTTCCACATCAAGATTTAATCATCAGCATTAGATGCCACACTTGCATTATCATCTTCATCATCAACATCTTCATTTACAAATCACAATTCAAAAATAAAATAATCATATTAACGAACAATCATGATTAAAAATCTTCTAGTAGTTACATTAAAATTAAATAAATTACCATTAGGAACAAAATCATTCAACCAATTGCGGGTGCAAATCAAAGCTTCAACACATTTGGGCAATAAACTACTTCTATATTTGTTAAGGACACGTGCCCCAATACTAAATGCAGATTCATATGCCACAGTGGTTATAGGAATGCTTAACAAGTCACGAGCCATTAATGATAAATCTGGAAAACGTTTACAATTTTCCTTCCACCATTGTAATACATCCAAATTTTCATGATACTCAAAACACAATGCTGGCTCTTTTAAATAAATGTCAAGATGAGACCTTCCAGCTTTATTTGCAAGGTGATGATTGATCAATTTCAAATTCTATCACATGAAAAAAATAGGATTAAGGTTACAAAAATATAGAACATAAAGTAACTAAATTACATCAACTTACATTAAACATTGGCAGTTCCCATCCTTTGTTGTCCCTTGACTTTGACACACTTGAAGATTGAGATGTAATATCACTTTGATCATTCTAAGTGGAGAAATTGTTGCTTGCATATTGCTCATATAGCATGAACAACTTTCTCTTTACATTTTCTACCTTTTGATCAGCTGTAGATGCTTCAATTGTTGAGGAACAATATCTTAATGATTCTAACTTCACTCGAGGGTCAAGAATGAAACCAAAAGCAAGTTGCATGCTATATTCATCCCAATATTTGTCAAACTTCAGCAACATATTTTTAGCCATAGTCCTTAAAACATCATCATCATCATTCAAATGATGAATTAGAATGCATTGAATTTTCCAAACTTGCTCAAAATACAAGTTGGAAGTAGGATAGGATGTGCCAGAAATCAAGTTGGTGATATCATAAAATGGCTTCAAGAAAATGCAAAATTTTTCTCCTCTTTTCCATTCTTCTGCAGATGGACAATATTTATAATTCTTATCATTCAATTGAAGACTTGCAAACACCTGTTGGTAACCAAGAGCACTTTGAAGCATCAAATATGAGTTCCATCTTGTAGGAACATCTAAACACAAGCCAATTAATGTGTCAACATCTCCAATTTGGTCAATGCATTCCTTAAATTTTAATTCTCTACTTTCTGAACCCCTAACATATTTGACACTTTCTCTAATCTTCATCAAGGCATCACCACATACTTTCAACCCTTCTTGGACAATTAGATTCAAAATGTGTGCAGAACAACGCATATGAAAAAATTCTCCATTACATAACAACAAATTTTGCAAGATAAATTGACCTTTTAAAATGTGAGCTACCATGTTGTCATTGGCAGTGACATTATCCAAAGTAATACTAAAAACCTTCTTCTCTATTCCTCATTCCTTCAAAAAATCAAGTATTTTTTTTTACAATTCGAATCTAGTGTGAGGAGGAGGCATATGAGAGAAGTTGAGATTTTTTCTATTTAACCTCCATTTTGTATCAATATAATGTGCTGTCAAACATATGTAACCCTCCGTTTGAACAGATGTCCACAAATCAGAAGTTAAACAAATCCTAGTAGGAATGTCAGCTAATGTTTTTTTTTGAGCTTTTCCTTCTCTTTCTTGTAGATATTCAACACATCATTCTTAGCTGTATTTCTTGAAATAGAAATTGCATCAGGATTCAAGTATTTTATCCATTCCCTAATCTTCTTGTATTCAACAAAGTTAAATGGAAAATCATGTTCAATGATTGCAACCACCAACATCTCACGAGCCACTATTTGATCTATCTTGTGAGACTTTAGTTTCCCTTGCATATCTATAATCATTTGATCTATGTCTTAAAATTTGATTTCTTTACACTTTTCAATGTGTCAATTTAATGTTGATGTCCCATATGTTTTTCCATCAACTTTATACTCTTTTCCACAAGCATTGCATTTCGCCCTTTCAATTCCATCATCTCCCACCCCTACCTTCGTGAAAAATTTCCAACAATCTGATGTTGTTGTCTTAGCCCTTTTCTTTTTTCCTTCAACAAATTCAGGTTCTTCCATTTCAATGTCTAATTTTCCCCCATCACCAATTGTAGGATTGTTATTCGATTCCATCTCAATTCAGATTAAAAACTAAAGAAATCCACTGCACATTGCAAAACATACATAAAGAATTCAGATTGCTAAATTCATGGAATCATATTTCAACTAAAAGTATGAGTACAAATCAATCGGACATTATATTTCAACTAAATCACCGCTCATTATATTTCAACTAAAAACTAAAAATATTTCAACTAAATTAATCAGACATCATATTTCATGGAATTATATTAGCAAATATAGCATCTTATAATTTAATATGTACAAATCAATCGGACATATATTTAGATACCCATTCATTTTTTCTTTTGCTGTAATTAAAACACAACCACCACTCATAATTTAGTAAAGCAGGAATATGAGTACTTAGCATCATATTTTTATTGTCCTATTCAGATTTTTTTTATACATTGTGATATTCAGATTAGCAAAGCATCGAATGGCCAACCTTCTAGTTTTTTTTTTGACTATTTATTTCTTTTTCCTTGATTTTTTTTTTGGAATACAAGCACATTTCAGTTTTGTATATGTAAGCATCTTTGAGAAATATTATTTCATGGTTATATCAAACAAAAAGGTACCTGTTGAAGTTGATACACATTTGACACGTAAATTTAGAAAACATTTCAATATAATTTCTCTAAATATACATCAAGGAAACAAAATAAACAAAAAAGGATCCATTTTTTTTACATAAAGTAACTAACCCCACAAGTTTTGCACAAATAAAAAGTAAATCCCTTCATTCTCTTTTCATCCACGCAACAAAATATATGCTTCAAAATTGAATGTGATGTTTCAAGAATCAAGCGCTCATTTTTTTTTCCAATAAAAACAAAAACATAGTATACACTGTAAAACTAAGGAAAGATTTACACTTTACAGAGCAACAATGAACCAAAATAAAAAATAAAAAACAGAGACTGACCCAATAAAAAAGGTGAACTGAAAAAGCACGCAAACACATAAAAAAGGAGTATAGGATTAGAACCACAAATGGGGTACGAGATTCCAACAGAAAAAATGGGCCAAAGGGTGTAGCAGTAAACATACCTATAGTCTAACTTTCTTTTGAAATTAGATGTGAACCATATGGGGTTGACTCGTTGAGCACCGTCACATTTGAAAGCGAGTAAAGATTGGTTAGTAGTAATGAGTGAAAGCATCAAAGCGTGAAAAATGCAAAGAGATATAAGTGTGAGTGACTGAACTGCCAATAGGTTTCGAGATTGGAATAGCAAAGAGACGAAACGTCGTTGCTGAGTTTGCAGGAACTGACACTCCAAACGGCATTCTCGTTGACGGAAAGGATGGAGCTACTGCACTGGGGTTGGGGGTGCTCTGCTAGGGCAAATGAGATTAACAGTAAATAAATTTTACGTTTTACATATACACTTTTATCTTTTAGCTTTTTGTATTGAAGTATAATTTTTTTTTAAAATTTAAAATTTAAAAAAGCTAACCCGTCAGGCCAACCCGGCCCGGCCCGTTATAAACCCGTTTTAACCTGTTTGTAAACGGGGCGAGTTGTATTGGGTTATTTTGTTTAGAGTGATAACCCAACCCGTTAACTTAGGTGGGTCATACGGGTTGACCCATCGGATCAGACCTGTTTTGCCAGCTCTACTGATCAAGGGAATCAAAAGAATTTAAAACACTTAAAAGAAAACCTCGAGTACAACTCCCACTAATGAAGGGAATCAAAAGGATTTAAAGTACTCATATATACAAAGGAGGCTACTTCAAGGTATTTCCTACAAAAGCTTTTATTTCATTCAGTAAATCATCATCTTACTGAAAAATAAAATATCATCTACATAAAGTACTAAGAATATACATACATTTCCTTAACCTTGCTAGCAAGTCAGCAACTACTTTCTTAAAGACGGTTTAAATCATATCGATCATATATATACATAGAAGATGGTTATATTGTTATATTTTTTTTACAAACTAAACAATGTCTTACTAGTAAAATTTCATTCAAGAATGTCTTACAGATAAGACATAATATAGTTTGTAAATAAAAAATTTGTAAATATAATATTTTCTATATATATATATATATATATATATATATATAGGGGAAAACATTTCTGTAGCCACTTTATATAAGGTTGTCTACAGCTCTCCTTTTTTCACTAAGTACGACCGGTCGTACATTAAAATTGCATTTTCTCTCTCCGCCACGTCAGCCGACAATGTCTGAAGAAAGAGAAAAAAGAACACCTTTATTGTTATAACTAAGTATGACCGGTCGTACTTAATGAAAAAGGGGTAGCTGTAGACAACCTTATCTAAAGTGGCTATAGAAATACTTTTCTCATATGTATATATATGTATATATATATATTTATATATATAGGGAAAGTTATATTTACAAATTTTTTGTTTACAAACTCTTACAAGTTACATTATGTTTGACCGGTAATATACTCTTAAATAGAGTATTACCGATCAGACATAATATAATTTGTAAGTTTGTAAAAGAAAAGGTTTGTAAACGGATTCTTCCCTTATATGGGGAATGTTATATTTACAAATTTTTTGTTTACAAACTCTTTCAAATTACACTAAGTATGATCGGTTATACTTCAATCAAGAGTGTATGACTGGTCATACTTAGTGTAATTTGTAAAAAAAGTTTGTAAACGGATTCTTTCCAAACTTATTATTATTATTTATAAACCATCCCATATTTGATGGGTAGCGAATGCTAATCAATTGAGATTCGAGCCAAACAAGACCGCTGTCATGTTAATTAAGTTTTTATAAATCATCTGGTCTCTTCTTATTGAGGTGATTTTTGGTGCACCTTGGAACCACCATTTTTTGTTGGTCCCTTCTCACAAATAAGAGGGCAAATAAAGAAAAGGAGAAAAAAACTTGTGTAAAACTGATTTTTTTTTTTTTTGGTACAATAAAAGGCATGGCCCAAAGAAAGCAAAAGAAATAAAATACAAAAGGAACACTAATCAATCAGGGGTCCTGGAAAAACTGCAGGCAGCACCCTTGATATCCGAGGTGATGAGATGCTTCAAAGCAATAGCTGGAGCTGGGCATAAGAGAGACCCCCAAGGAAAGGAGAGAGCATTCTTCACTAGCCAATTAGCACACTTGTCCCTCCCGCTTCATATGGAGAAATCCGATCCTCCAATCCTTATCTCTCCAGGCTCGAATCCTAACTACCAAGGGTAGTTCTCGAGCGTCTTTACCAATATTGGTAAGCAAGTTAATAGCAAGAGCGGAGTCACTCTCAATAATAACTTTTTTAGAATTAAGATTCCAAGCAAACTCACAACCTTTGAGGATCGCCCATAATTCAGCTTAGAGAGGAGAGCAGAAGCCCAAAAATGACTGGAAACCACTAATCCAAGCACCATCAGAATCTCTACAAATCCCTCCACAAGCAGCCTTTTCCACAGTGACAGCTCCATCCACATTCATCTTTAACCAATCTAAAGGAGGACAAGCCCAAAAAGAGGAGGAAGAAATGTCAATTCTGCAGGTCATAGAAGTTGAGGTGGGGTTCTTTTCCTTCACCTGGTTTAAATCACAAAGAAAATTCCCAATCAAAAGGCTGCTGTCATCAGGTCTTTGGAAATTATCTTCATGAATATCTTTGTTTCTCCATAGCCACAAGAACCACCAGGTCACAAAGAATAGGTCCCTCCAATCAGTTCCCCTGTCATCAACAAAATCAATATTTTTTTTTAACCAGGAAGCCAAATCCATATCAGAGAAGAAAAAAGAAGGCAAGGGATGAATGAATTGAGATTTTCAGACCCTTGCTGCCCAAGGGCAATCTCTTAAGGCATGTAAAATTGTTTCCACCTTATCCAAACAAGAATGACATTTATCAGTACCATTACCCCACACAACAGACATCTTTCTTGTTAGAAGACGACCATGAGACATTTTCCAAACCTGAAACTTAATTTTTTTTGGACCCTTCCACTTCCAGATTCAGCTCCAAGGGAAATCAGATAATAGGTCATTAAACTCCATGATTCTATGGTAGGCATGCTTGACTAAAGAAGAAGAAGGGTTTTTGTTCATCCAGAAGAGGCAGTCCCTGCCAGCTACAGCCGAAGGAGGAGGGATAACAAATATTCTGTTCATCACTGATTGGTCAAAAAAGCTAACTAGGAGGCTATAGTT